AAAATACTAAAGAAAATTTGCATATATTTATATGTATAGATATCGATAAACAGATAGATAGATATATAGATTGATCAAATTAATGGCAAATTCTTTAACGTAAAAAAAAGTCTTATTTATCAATCAAACAGCATGGATGCATTCCTTTACGAATGCTATAAATTTTCACGACGGCGACATATCGATTGCGTCCGACACACATACCACTCGGCCCTTGTCATCCTGAGACCAACACTGTCATGAAATTTATTGCCGTGGAAACTCGACGAAAAGCAGCCGAGAGAGAAACCCTTCGAAGATCCCACTCTCTTACCTTATACCTTTTTCCCTTTACTAAAATACCGAAAACTAAGCGTTAAGAAATCCGTCGATTTTTTTCTATTTTTTCTTTTCCCAACCCTAACTTCCCCCCTTCCGTTTACTTTTTATTATTATTATTATTATTATTATTATTATTATTATTATTATTATTTCGAAAGCTCGTTCGTACGAAAATCAATTTGTAAAATCGTATTGATAATCTAATACACGTTTCAGAAGCGCTAAGAGTAGCCGAATTCGAGCGCATAAACAAAGATGATACGTTAATAGAAGAGGAAAAAGTCATGTTGTTAGGCGAATTGATGTCGAAGAGCCATTTGAGTCTTTGTAAACTATACGAGTGTAGCCATCCACGTGTCGATGCACTCGTCGACAAGGCCATGAATTGTGGAGCACTCGGTGCTAGACTCACCGGAGCTGGGTAAGTACAATCTTATTGTATATACATATGGTATACACACATATATATATATATATATATACATATAGCGTATATATGGATATATAAATGCATACCTTAAGCTTCTTAAGGTGAAGAGCTTTTATCGTGAAACAAGAATATATATACTCTAAAAGCGTGACCTTCTATCTCCACCATCTTACTTATGTTTTACTTATAAATATAAGATATTATTTATATGTACAATAATAATAGAAGATTCAAGTCTGTTATCAAATAAGTATCATATATCTATGGATATATAGATATCAATATGTCCGTGCGATTCCTATTTAAGTGTGTATATAAAAAAAAAAAAAAAAAAAAAAAAAAAAATACAACCCCAACACCCTAAAGTTCGGCATCCCTATGTATCTTTTCCCTTCGACTACTTCAAATCATAGTAACGTCCATTAGACCGTTAATAGATGTCTATTGACAAGTTCGGGTCACACCCCGGAACTTCGATATATAGAAACTCCTATTTCCGAACGAGTTTGCAAACGATCATCTGTTTTCCCTACCCTCGCAAATCGATCTTATAAGAAAGATAAATGAATTTTATTCTACCGTGTTTTGCTTTGACCCATTTTTCATAATACTCAAAACATACATATATATAATCTTGAAAAGATTTTTTTATCCTCATTCCAATTTATTATATAAATGTTACTGCCACTTTTATCTATTTATTTGAAAAAAAAAAAAAAAAAAAAAAAAAAAAGAACAAAAAATATCCAATTTATCATATCGAAAATCAGATTATTCATACTATATATAATTTTTATCTAGTCAAACTATTTAGTATATTTATACAAACCATGTATATTATGTAAAGTACATCATTTGTATTACAATAGATGGGGTGGATGTATAGTGGCTATCATCACAAAGGAAAAAATTTCTCAATTCGTTGAGGACATTCAACAATATCTTTGGGAAAATTGTAGAAATTATGAACTTGACCTGGATGACCTAGTATTTCCTACGGAACCTGATCAGGGCGCTGCAATCTATACGTTCTAATTTCTAATATTATACTTTTCTTTACATTGTATTATTATGTCACGAAAGAAATTAATGATACTCGTGTCGATATTCTTCCTATGTCTTCTTTTAATATAACTATATAAACGATATGCATACACACATACACACATGCGCGCGCGCGCGCATATATATATATATATATATATATATATATATAGATGTATACATACGCGTATATGTATAGATTAATATCTGTATAGTATAGACATTGTTCTGAACTAATTCATTTAAAATGGTTAGATCAATGTAATAACGAACAGTCATGAAATAACATTTAATGTGCTATTAAATAAATATATTATAATAATATTATTTTTAAGGTGTTATATAAGATATAATAATTGTAATATTTTCTTCTGGTGCATTATGTAATAGCTTTATGACAAGACTGGCGCGTTATGTATACACTTATAAGAGTAATAATCAAAACATTATGTATTACGAAAGCAATATAGAATTAAATGAATTCTCAATTTTATATACAATTTTTTTTTTATCTGCGATAATTCATCATAATTATTAATAAATCGAAGAAATTAAAATTAAATTCGTCGTGCATCCTGTCGTACGTTACAATTTTCTACGACAAGATTGGAAGCAATTTTGAAGCATTGATAGAGTACGATGTTTATTGATCCGCAAGAAACAATTAACAGGACAATGGTATGAGTGATCGAATTCTAACAATTTTCGTGTTCGTAAAAGTTTCTACCTATAACGATAAAACGTTTTCATAGAAAATCGCATTTAATAATAGAGAAACGTTTGAAAGAAATGTTAGAGAACGCGTTTCCAATTAACCTACTGAAATAACTTTATTCGTCTAATTTAAAAAATATATTGGTACATGAAATATATTATCTACAGTGATAATTTTATTAATGAATCGAAGAATATAAAAAGCAGATTGTTATGACCTATGGATATTGGAATCGCGTCAGAAAAAAAAAAAAGAAAAAAGGAAAAAAAGGACCGATGAACTTTATGATGAATATCATTGACATACAAGAATATCTATATGATATACAAGAACTATCTTTTTCAATGAATATTCACGATAGAGACACGAAGTTCAGTATCAAAGAGAGAAGTCAATGAATCCGACTAGAGGCAAAAGCACGTTGCAACATCCGGACTGAAGGAAACCAACAGAACTGGATTGTACGTGAGTGTAAGCTCATCTAAAGTACTGTAATTGATTTATACCTTGATTACATTGTCCGCAGTTGTGTTGTTGCAGTGAAATCTCTCTCTCTCTCTCTCTTTCTCTCTCCCTTTCTCTCTCTCTCTCTCTCTCTCTCTCTCTCTCTCTCGCTCTCTCTCTCTCACTCTCTCACTTTGAGTTCACTTTATTACATATCTCAGACATCTATCACAATGACACCAAATGCTGAAAATTACGTTGAAAATAGCAATCCCATTGGTAACACATTTTCGTGTTATCGAAACGTCAATAGAATGTAATTCGTTTTAAATGTTTCTACGGCAAGATGTCATTCACTTTAAATGTTTTTATGGTTCGTCGCACTCGTATACTTTTCCCTAAATCTTCATACCTACGATTCGATTTATCCGACTCCTTTATTCTGAATAACATTTCAAAGTCCACATCGCGATATACTTACATACGTATGTATAAGATAGCTCATGTAAGAAGTGAAGGTTGAAGAAAATTGTTGCCACCCTTCGAAAGAAGAGAGTTCTATCTATCTCGCAAATTCGAGCGTGCCTTCGCTTATTTATTCTACGAAGGAGTGCTGCCTGGAGGGGAACAAGTAGTAAATTTATTCGAAAGCTCCACAGCGTTTCTTTACTACGCATACGATAAAAGCTTTAAGGGATATGTGTACTTTTATTTTCTCTATCTATCTTTCTCTCTCTCTCTCTTTCTCTCTCTATCTATCTTTCTCTCTCTCTCTCTATCTTTCTCTCTCTCTATCTTTCTCTCTGTGTTTTTCTTCCTCTCTCACTTTCTTGTATAAATTTTACGAGAAAGAAAAAAATCTCAAGTATTTTACAGACCATTTCCTAAAACTCAAATTCTTGCCTCTCTTCTTCTTTTCCTTCTTCTCCTTCTTCTTCTTTTTCTTGTTTTATCCTCAAACACGTATTTTCCTTTTTACCTTAAAAGTACCTTTAAGTTAAGCCTGTCTCACATATATACGATAAGGATCGTCTGTCGTTTAGCATCCGACGTTTTGACATGAGGTTATCACAAAAAGGAGAGCAATTTGATGCGAATAATTTATGATATCAAGCTCCTTGTCACGTAGATCAACTTTTCAGTAATCTAGCTTTGCATTTTCTTTTTTCTTTTTGTTTCTTCCTTCTTTTTTTTTTTTTTTTCTTTTTAAGAAGATCAACACTTTAGCTCGTATAACGAAGAAAACTAATTAAAAGTAAAAATTTAATAGAAAAAGGAGCAAAGAAAGATAATATTTCTTAAACTTCGAATAAAAAACAATAGCGCTCTTATTAATTATTAACATTCTTTATTTTGTTAGACAATAGGACGATATAAATATAATCCAAGAAAAAAAATTGAAGGCGTTATTGATAATTTATATATTGTCTGGCAAATAAGGGAAAAAGAAAAATTTATTAGAAATAGAAATAAATAAGTACACGTCTCTATTTTATAATATGTCAATAACTTTATTTACGCAAGTTCTGATCCTTCAGATGATTATTATAAAACTAGTAACCTGTAACTTTTGTACGATGTAACTTTTCATACGATGTAAGGGCTAAACTCATAAAGTTTTTCTCGCTGAACTCATCTTATACGACGTAAGGCTCGACCTTGAAGTTTTCTTTTCGCAAAACTCATCGTCACCTCGTTTGTGACGTTCGCAAGTTTGAAGTTGATGAAGGAACATCTTGCAGTACGATTTATCTAACAACATCTTTTTGCTCCATTAGATAAATATTAATATAGATAATCACATATACATGTATATATATATGTAGAGAGAGAGAGAGAGAGAGAGAGAGAGAGAATGGGAAAAAGAAAAAGATAATAAAGCAGGAAAGAAAAAGAAAATAGGGGTTGTTCTATCTTTCTCTCTCTCTCTCTCTCTCTCTCTTTCTCTTTCTCTCTCTCTTTCTCTCTCTCTTTCTCTCTCATCCTCATTCCAATTTCGATAGAAATCTTCTATCACGCATGCGTCCGACCTCGATGCTTTTCGCGCCGCAGGAACTCGACACGCGAAATTCAACGAAGACAAGGAACAGTCAGCGTCGAGCAGCGTTTCCGCTCCGCTTGTGCGTTCCTCCGCGAGAGGACGAGATGAGTCCTCTCATCCTCGTATCAATTATTTCCAAATCTTCGAAATCTCTCGAAAAATCATAAAACTGTACGATACGACAAAAAGGAAATAAGAAAAAGAGAAAAGAACAAAAAAAAAAAAGAAGCGAAAACGGGAAGGGAAGAAAAGAAGAAGAAAAAACAGAACCGAAAAATAAAAATAAATACAAAAACGACGATAGGGGTGTGCGGCCGCGCGCGCGCGCGCACGCAAGAAACTCAGATTCATGCTGGTACATTTCGGATCTTTTATTTTCTCATTCTTATCATTTTCACGCTCGATTCGATTTCAACAAGGGTGCGTAAGGTCGCACACGCGTTCGAAGCATGGCCATCATGCAATCCTGTTGCTGTTGGCAATCAGTTCGCAGAGGGAGTTACGCTTGTGCCATTTATACCGGAGTAAGTAACATCTCAGTGCGATTGATTTCACCCATTTTCTAATGAAACCCTAAAGGGGAACTACTAGGGGGTTAGTATACAATTCATACGAAAAATAAACTATGTTGTTTCGATTTCGATTGAATTTTCTTTTCTCTTGTGGTTGATACGTTTCCAGTTAGATACAATTGATTTACTTTGTAAGGGAAAAGAAAAAAAAAAGAAATATATATATATATATATATCCGCGAGAGAGATTGGTAAATATTATAAAGAAAACGTATATATATATCATTTTCCTTCATGAGATTCTGCTCGCTACAAGCGAACGCATTTTGTCTAAACTTCTTTTTTTCCATACAACCGAGAGAAAATTTCATTGAGTTCTGTAAACGTCATATTATCGATACTCGATAGACATCGAAGTCTGTCAATTGATCCTTTTTCTTTCTATTATATATATGATATAATTTTCGATCATATTACACGTATTGTTCCTTCTTTTCTTTTATTACATATGTATATGTATGTGCATGTGTGTATGTGTATGTATATATTGATAAAATCGATATGTATGAATGTGCTTATATCCAATAGTCTAGTTCATTTGACTACATCCTTTAATATTTGTGATCATTTAAGACAATCGAGAAGCGGTCCATGTGCTTGCAATGTGACCCAACGCATACCCTGTTGCTGCTGGTCGATATCTGAGTCTAACTTTTACATAGATGCATACATACATATGTACATACCTACGTATATGGATACGTACATACGTAGGTATACATCTTAAGTACCATCGGGGAACGAATAACACGATCATGATATGAATTGAATGATAGCACACAATAATACAAAATTGATTTGATCTACTATTGTATTTAACTTGTATAATTTAAAAGAAATATATATGGAATTCATCATCTTGTATTTATAATTATTGATCGTAAATATATACGTGCTGTTAGCAGAGCTGATTACTTACGTAAATTATAAGGATGATACATATAGACCATCTAAATGTAATTATTATCAAAATTTATTCATCACACTTTAACTCGAATCGAAAACACATGAAATGCATTTCGTTATTTATAATTAATACACGGGTTTCGTCATACTGAAAGGGCATAACGTTCGTACAAAACTCGCACGGTAAATAAAAATCCACTTAAGCTCGGAAACGCGTGCTCTCGTCTCTTTATGGAATGATTATATTTTTTTAAGCTGGTTTGCAAAAGCTTTCGATGACTAAAAAAAAAAAAAAAAAAAAATGAAAAAATAAAAAAAAAAAAACAGAACAAAAATATTTATTTCCAGATACATTCAATTCGTGAGAATAGGTTCAAAAGAGTGAAGAATGAAAACGCAGAAAACCACACGATTCCCGGGATTCATATTAGTTTACATACATTCAATGACCCATGGGAAATTTCATAGCAATGTGCAAAGCACTATAGTTAATTTAATCATGAAAATGTGATTCTCTTTATTTCATTTTCCAAACTGTCACGCGATGTATATCATCAACAAGATAAATTTTCACCGCCATTAAAAATCTACTTTTTAACTGTTTTTTACATTAATTATATACATATATATTTATATCTATATTTTATCGTAAGAAGAAAGAAATGTAATTCTGGAACGAGACGATAATAACAAGCTAACACCTTCATAGAATTTTAATACAAACAACGAAATTGCATTCGACAGAAACGTGAGAATAAGAGACTACGATTCCCAATACTTTAGTACTGTCGATAAAAGCTATGCACTTTGACTATATCGATTGTCGTAAGAGGCTTGTATCAAGTTGCTTGTCATATCCTTTTCCATGTAATATTATACAGATTGGTTCGTTCAGAAAATTCCCTGGAAAATATATATATACACACTATTGGATAAAGTTGTATTAAACATACATATTAATCATAGCTTTGAATTTTCATGAAAAATTATGCTACGAACTTTTCGAGTACTCCAATACGTATGTATATATATATATATATATATATATATATATATATATATATATATATATATATATATAAATGAAACATAAAATTGGGTCGACCCTGATGGCTCTCGTTTCTACGTTTATATCCTTATAATGTAATACAAGCTTAACGGGAGAACACGTATACATATAACGAGACATTTGGCAGTGCACTTTAACAGCCGTCGTAAAGCCAGCACAAGCATTAACTATTCTCGTAAAGTTTTTCACGAGAATATATCGAAGGCAAACTAAAGGATGAACGTATATATTCCCGTTTGAATGATATCTTTACGATCGACACATATCAAAATATAGAGAAAAGAAGGGAAAAAAAGAGAGAAATAAAAAAAAAAATATATATATATATATATATATATATATATAAAACCATCATTCTGCATTCGATATCGTGTGTCGACACATCGAACGATCCGCTAATAAAAAGAGGAACGGAAATAGTCGAACGTAAATCGAAAATTGATCGTCCACAAGATCCAAAAAAATATATTTACAAATTGTGAAGAAATAATTAACGTTGACATAAAAATCAACATGTTTTTTTTTTATCAGGCGAAATAGATCTATTCGTTTGAATACTTTAATCTTTCAAACTAGCGAAAGAACACGCAGTGAAACTGTTTGACATTATTGCGGCAAACGCGTCAGAGATATTATAGCCACAGGCTGATAACGACATTGCCACTCTCTCCTTCTCTCTCTCTCTCTCTCTCTCTCTCATTTTCTCTCACTCTCTCTCTCTCTCTCTCTCTCTCTTTCTCTCTTTCTCTCTGACGTAAAATCGAAGTAGTTGTCGAAATTGACTCTACGATAATTTCTGCCTACAACAATTTTAACATTGTCATTTCTTTCGATAATACGATTATATACTCTAAAAAGAGAAATTTGTTATTATATATGTATAAGAATTGAAATTTGAATATTATATATGTATAAGATCATTTCATTTTCACGATTGCAAATATATATATATATATATTTTTTTTTTAATTTATAATTTAATTAATATAAAAAACATTTCTTTCAGATTTACTTTATTATCTTAGCCATTACAACAGGAACAGTCTTGCAAGCCGAAAGTGAATATTTATCTGGAAATCGATCATTACCAGAATCGTCGAGTTTCTTAGAAGTTGATACAATATCCCCTGGTAAGTATCACGTAGTTTTTCAAAGTTATATATTTAAGTTGAGCAAAGAGAGAATTTTTATTGTTTCAGCTACCGTACGATTCAATATAACTTTTTTGATATGTTCGTGTTCTGGTGTAATCTGTACTATTCTTCTCGTATACGGCTTACTCAAGGTAAGAAAAAATTTTTCTTTGATAATATATTACATATAATAATATGGCAACTCTCTGTTATACATCATTTGTGAATAATTCAAGTACTTTTCTCATACGCGTTATAGAACAAAAGAATTTCTTTACGTGTAAAGCCAATGGAAAAAAAAGAAAATAAAAAAAATAAAAAAAGAAAGGAAGAAAGAAAGAAAGAAGAAAAAATAAAAATGAATATTTAAGAATATTTAAAAATACATAAACCATGGAAAAGAGAAAATTCCATAGAAATTAGAAATAATAGAAAATGGAATAATAAATATTACATTATTCTATTGAATTCGATTTCTGTATTAATAATTCTTTTTTCTTTATTATTTTCTTCCTAGATCTTTTGAAAAAGAAAAAGAATTAAAAAAAAAAAAAAAATGAAAAGAAAAGGAAAAGAAAAAAAGAAAAAGAAAAAAAAATAGATACACGGTTTCTCTTAACTCCAACGTCGCTCGTGTTTTCAACGACGTACGTTTTCTTATCGTTCTCACGTTGTTTGCCTCACCGGCTGCTACCTTCACGAGATATAAATTTTCCACTTTCACACCGTTAATAAACAACCCTACGCGAAGCCCCTTCCTATATAAAAGCCAACAGTCCAAGTTGCGTCGCGAAATATACGTATCTACCTATTCGCACAACCCTCTTCTTCTTCTTTTTCTTCTTCATCTTCTTCTTCTTCTTCTTCTTCTTCTTCTTCTTCTTCTTCTTCTTCTTCTTCTTCTTCTTCTTTCTCTTCTTTTTCTTCCTCTACCTCCTTCTTCTTCACCTTTTGCTTATATTTTGCTTATTTATATAGAAGGAGGAAGTTTCTCTAAGTGGGCTAAAGATTAATTCCTACGCTCAAAGGCATCCTCCTGTGATTTTCTCCAGGGTCCCGCACGCTCATCGTTTCTTCGCTCAAAGAAAATCTTTTGAGGAAGCAAAACGAGATAGAGGGAAGGGTAACGATCCCTATTATAATCAATATTTCATGAGTTTCCTTGCTCACAAAAGTACTTTCCTTTTCTTTTCATTTCTCTCCTTCTCCCCCTCCCTCTCTCTCTCTCTCTTATTCTGTTGCATAATTCGAGCTATGTCAAAAAAAAAATGTAGTATTTCCTTTTTGTTTTTTTTTCTTTTATCTCCTTTCTTCATATATAATTCTACATAAAAAAAAAAAAAAAGAAAAGAAGAAAAAAATAAAATGGAAAAGAAAAAGAAAAATTCATTTAGTCTTTCATTTCATTTAATTTTGCTTCGTTTCGTACACCGTAAACGTGATTTCTAAGTAGTTAATTAAACATCCGCATGGAATAATTATGACAACGAGTTTTAAATTTCGAAAGTAACAATTTTAGTGGCGAATGACGTGCACCTTCGAATTGTCAAATAAATGATTCATAAGAGATTTTCGTGTTTTCTCAAAAACAAATTTACATGACAACATTCAACCCTCTTTTCTAATTAAGTTGTTACCGTTTAATCGAATTTTATTTTGTCATGGCATCGTTAAAAGTCCATGCGTCGATTCAATTATTAAACATAAAATATCTAATCCAAACTGTTAAACTTCTTTATCTCGTACCAACGTCGCAACATAACGTTCTGAGTTTTAAACTCGGAAAGTTGGTAACTACTTATCCAGTCACTTGAATCTCATGCTATTAATAATCCAACCGTCCGAAATTAAGGCTAAGTACTTTGTTACTGCTGTCTTTGTTCTTTGCTCATCGACTTTACTCTTATCATTAAAGAACAGAAGAGAAACATGCACAATCGATCGATCGGATAAAATCCGAGCGAATTAATCTGTATAAAATGCGATAAAGAAAATTTAATTTCGTATCAATCAAATATCCTCAAATATATCATTATTTATTACTTTTTTATTTATTTATCATAAAGGAAGATAGCACTGATAAGAGATACAAAATAAAAAAAATATTTGCCAGGATAGACATTACAAAAACGATCGTAAAAAGTTTTCCTCAAAGAGAACTTTCTCAATCTCCTTTCGATTTTAATTTAATCTTATAAAACATGATAACTTCTTGTCAGCCAGTGACCATGAAGAAATTGGTCTCGGTTTGTTTGAATACTTTTTTAAGAAGTCAAGTTAGGTAAGTGCGAAATTAAAATGAATGGGATACCTTTCTTCCAGTAGCGAACATATTTAACTTAATAAGCCATAAACTTTCGCCCTGTCGTCTTGTCAAGCTCGAAATGAATATTTTCTTTTTTCTCCTTTTCTCTTTTCTTCTTTCTTTCATCTTCCTCTTCTTCTTCTTCTTCTTTTCTTTTTTTTTCTTTTCTTTTCTCTTCTTTTCAGGACAAGCGAATCTTCCTCTTGCCATGGATCGTTAACGTGATCGCTTGCAGTATGGTCGACATCGCGCACGCTTTGTATCTCATAATTGTGACAGTGAGTATCGTAGATAAATTGATTGTAATATATCTATTAGATATATTCAATTTTTACAAATCTATTATAATCTGATTTTAATACGTCTATTACATATGATTCTAATACGTCGATCAAATTTCAATAACATTGTCCATCATTAATTTTTATCTTCGATATAGACAAGATTTTATTCTCCGACGATGTAAATCTCGGTGTATTCTTAGATTTCGATAAAAAAAAAAAAGAAAAAGAAGAAAAGGAAAAGAAAAGAAAAGAAAAAAAACCGGGTCAACCGCATGAAGAAAAAGAGATCGAACTTTGAAATTACATCTCCGTTCGACCTTTTGTATGTAAGAACTAAAAGGAAAAAAGAGAACGAAGTCTTGATGACCTCTGATCGAACCCGTCACTCTTTTACTCGTACCTTCATCTCTCTTTCTCTTTTTCGTTTTTTTCCTTTCTTTTTGTTTTTACTTTTCGTGCGAACAAACCGTAGTACACTATCATGCTTTCGTGCGGAAAAGAAATGTCTATCATAAACGTGACATTGCCTTGGGACATAGCAAACTGAAACTATCTAGCTACTGTGTTATTAGTTTTTCGTTCTTTCGTGCGTACACACACACACACACACACACAGACACACACGTATAATAAAGAACGTGCTAAACAAGTGATACGTACGAAAAAGTATTAAAAAAAAGAAGAAAAGAAAGAAAACAGAAAAACATCGATAAGAAAAATTGGACAAATAATACAAATATTCGATAAATCGATCCAATAGATTTTTTCTTCTTTTTCTTTTTATTTTCTTTTTTTTTCTTCTTTTTTTTTTTATTTTATTAATATTTATTTACATAACTACTTGGTCAATGGTTTACAATGTGTTTATGAATAAAGAATTCGATGTAAACGAACCATTGATGAATTAATTCATAAAAATATACATACATGCATACATATATATATGTATATACGATGTAAATCGCATCGTAGAGAATTGCATACTTAAAAAGAATATATATATATATATATATATGTATATTTATGTATTTATCGAACAGAGTGACGTTATAGGATTCACATAGTTTCTATTTTTTCTTTGATTTCTTTATTTTACGCTCAGTGCGCATTGTGTATCGACCAATACCTTCAATACATTCTCGCAAATAACATTCTCTAACCCGAATCGTGCTTGTTAGCGTGCGAGAAAAACGGTTTCCAATTTTCTATAGAATCGATAGAAAAATAAAGGCGTACAACAAAAGAAGAAACATTGACGTGATTTATATATATGTATATATATATATATATATTATATATATATATATATATATATATATATAACCCCAAAAGTTTAAAAGAAAGAGAGAGAGAGAGAGAGAGAGAAAAAATATATTTAACGGGTTGCGAAACTTTTCCTCTTTTTTCTTCTTTTTCTTCTTCTTCTTTTTTCTTCTTTTTTTCTTTCATACCTTTGAAGGTACAGAGAGCAACACGTTGCTTCGACAAATACAAAACTTTCAGCGTGAGCTATGACGTCTTCTCTATTTTTCAGCCCAACTTTAATCCAATAACGGCGATGCTCTACACGCTCAACTTTTTTCTTCTATGTTTAAACGTGAGTATTTTAAAAGATTGCATTTAACGTCGGTACTATAAAACAAATATTTTACGATCCAGGCGATAAATCTTATAAAAATATTATAGAAAAGAAAAGAAAAGAAAATAGAAAAAAATAGAAAACAAAACAATGGAATTATAATAATATACAATATATATATACATATATATATATATGTATATATACATATATATATATATATATATATACACACACATATGTACATATATAGGTATACTCTCTTCTCTGCGTCATCTCGCAATATCAGGAATATTTGGCCGGCCGTGGTACGGCAGCGGATGACAATGACTACAGGGTCAGTATTCTGAGAGTCTCACGACGGAAAGGGCAACGGGATAAGGGAAGAAAAGTTAAGTGCACAAAAATATTATTTTTTCTCAAGCTATCGAGTCTACTCATCTCATCTTCCAAATTTATCTTTCATCTTTCTTAACTTTTCAATTTTCCAAACCGTTACCGGAATATCAAAAATATTAAACAAAGTGTTTCGTATTTTTCGAATCGAATGATTCTATATCGATTGAAAAAAGGAAAAGGAAAAAAGAAAAAAGTTTAGTCGTTAAGTCGACTTATCTACTTCGTTCATACTCGTTTCACTTTATTAAACACTTTTGATACGACGGAGAAGAGAAATCGATCGATTATTATTCGTGTATTTTAATAACGTGACGGTGGCTTATGATTCGCATTAAAGTACGAAAATATTTCTCCTATCGGCTCTTTTATATTAGAATGTAAGAGCCAATAAGAGCGCGAGAATATAACGAGATCTTCAGTATTGATCGTTTTTTACCTCTTCCATCTCGGTTTGTCATTTCACGAAATCCTGCTAACGGTCTTTCGACTCTTAATTATCTCTTCCAATTAATTATATCGATTGTTATACAAGTGATTCTTTCCGGGAAAAAAAATGGAAAAAGAAAAAAACAAAAAAAATAAAAAAAGAGAAACAAAGAAAAATTTTTCTCCACGCTTATCGTCAACCTTTATATTTCATCTAACATTTACTATTGTTCAATTTAAAAAAAAAAAAAAAAAAAAAAATCAAAGAAACTTTCTTGTCTCTCGTCTCTCTTAAATATTTTTCAATTATTCTTGATGAATCAATTTAAATAGAGACGAAAAGAACGGAGGAATATAAAAATTTTATATAGAATCAGATCGAATTAATGAAATTTATAATTGTAATGATAAAATTATTGAATAATTTAATTTTTTCTATAAACGATTTCAATCAATAAAAGTATTAAATAAATTTATCTGATTGAAAAGATTAATGATAATAAATGATTTATATATATATATATATATATATATATATATATATAAATCATTATTATATATATATATATATAATATTATATATATATATATATATATATATATATATATCATGATATTAGATGAATGAAATCAAATTATAGAGAATATTGTGAGTTGTATAAAGTAAATTTATATCATAGTACGATATCGCAGATTATAATCTTATTTAACGCTAACTAAATTAGAGACAAAGTAGAGAACGCAATATATTTATATATACACATACATAAAGAGAAAGAGAGAAAGAGAAAGAGAGAGAGAGAGAGAGAGAAAAGGAGAGAAAGAAAAAGAGAAAAGGAGAAAGAGAGAAAGGAAAATATCGTAGCAAATTCTAGATTCGCCTAAACATATTAAGACCAGTCCATGCGATTATAATCTCGGATTGACTTTATGTATCTTATATGTGAAAGAGAGATACGCGTATGACATATTTCTGAACTTCGCTTACCCTCTCGTCGTTGCATCCCCAAAGGAATAGAAATACGATGCATCAGCTTCTTTCGCTTGGCTTCACTCTCAGAATACCAATGTTCTCTCTATATGTTAGTAAAGATACGAACCTAAACCTTGTTACATTTTGATGACTAAAAGATCTATTCTTTCTAAACGATTTTAGAATTTCAAAGGTCAAACGTTAACTTTAGATTGATATATCGAGAGTGAGAGAGAGAGAGAGAGAAAAAAAATTGATACGGAAAAAAATATTCTATGTTTTTTTGTATCATTATGCATATATGTGCATTGATTCGATTTATTAATTCAATATAATATTTGGAAAAAAATTTATTGTTAAATAAAATTATTCGTTTGTAATTAATCGCTCAAACATATTGTATTTAATCGAATAATATCATTATATAACTTAATATCAATGGATATCGATATTGGAGGAAACATCCAAGGCAACAGTATTGTACCTAAAGGAAAGATTATATCATTGATATGGCATACCAGGACTATACCAAAGAGAAAGACCATGCTTTGAGTATTTAGAGGTAAAACCGATTATATACCGAGTAAAGTTTATAGTAAATCGATGAGAACCACACGGTAAACTATCTTTCTATCTATTCCTCTGTGTGACGATACGCGAGGCGATAATTACGTAATTCAAAGAGATCTCTATGAAAGTGGAAAAAGCTATTGTGTCGTTTTTGTATATTATAATTGTTGTTATTATTAAATACAGAATATTTATACATACAAATAATTCTCTCTTCAAAGTGATACGAATAACAGATCAATGAAATTTATTCATTATTGTTATTACGAAATAAGGATTTAAAATTATTAATCGTATACGTAGATAAGATTTAATACTCGAAATATATTTAATTAATTAAGTTTAGGATTTTTTATTCTTTTTATTTATTTTTTTTTTTTATTTTTTTCTTTTTTTTATTTTTTTTTTTTATCGCGAACGAAGAGACTTTCGAGCAACGTTCTCTGGACACGGTTTAAAACAGTCATTATGCGACATCCTTTGAAGGTTCCAGCGGTGAGATACGCGGTACAACCGACGACAACTGCGACATCCTGTTTGAGCTCACGAAGAGCACCGACCAATAACGAGACGAAGGCAACACCAACGCCAACGCAAAGTCCAACCGCGGTACGGACTGTTCTTTCGTGTCCTGAAAAGAGTCCTACGGTAGGACGAGCAAATAAGAAGCACGTTCAATTTCCGGACACGCCAACACCAACATCAAGCTCGACGCCAACGGCAATACCGATATCCCTGGAAAAATCGGGTGAGTGCATTCGACGGTATCTTTTGATCAATTTTCAAATAAACAATGTCTGAAACTTTTAATATTCATTAATTTCAACTTTTAATACTCCAACTTTTAATATCTACTTCTATTACTACTACTATTAATAATAATAATAATAATGATAATAATAATAATAATAATAATAATAATAATAATAATAATAATAATAATAATAATAATAATAATAATAATAACAATAATAATGATAATAATAATGATAATAATAATAATAATAATAATAATAATAATAATAATAATAATAATAATAAATACGACTTCCTACAATTAATAATATTTTTATATTTTAATGATCGATTATCCCCCATAGAACAACAAAAGATTATACTCTTTTCATTTATCTGAAAAATATTAAAGTAATAGATTCGATATGTGAGATGAAATTATAATTTAATTTTTGTTAATTTATCTTATATTGAATAAACTGCAAACGATATAAATACAATGTTCCAATGAAAAAAGTTATCGATCTAAATCCGTACATGAAATTCTAGTCTCTCGAATCACAAAGCACGTCTATCATTCGAATGCTTGATCACTAGAAGATGTGTACCAGTTATTCAAGATCAAAGGAACGCGTAGAATTTCAAACGAGAAACAGAAAATCGATTTATTCATAGTAACGCAATTTGAGAATTTCTCTATTTTCAGAAATTCCTCTGACGGACTCCAATGCAAAGTATACCCTGGATGTAGGAGTTTCTCTCGAAAAACATTAATAATTAATCATAGATTAATTGTTTCAAACACAAGCTGGTAATTAAAATTCTCGCAGAGTGAGATACTATCTATTCATATTTCGCGATCGATCGTTTTTACTAGGACAATCTCCTCTACGAAGGACTTCATTAAATTATCTCGTCGCGAATCGTTAATACTCAAAATATTACGCTACTACAAAATAAATGGACTTGCAATGAACCAACGGTACCTGTTGTTTGTATATGTATATATTTTTTAGAGATATAAAAAGATATGTAACATTTTTCAATAAATCATCTATATATGAGATTTATTGTATTCGGAAATTAAATATTTCCCAATCCAAAAGAGAAAGAGAGAGAGAGAGAGAGAGAAAGAATGATAGAATGGGAGAATGAGAGAATGAGAGAGAGAGAGAGAGAGAGAAAGAGAATTTCGAAAAATGAATTATTTGTACACATGTGTAATTTATATATGTGTAGTAAATTTGATATTAAATTCGAATCGTTCTTTATCAATGAGTAAAATCTCCACATATTTTTTGTTTCCGAAAAATTATCATTGACAATAATTTATTTACTTGGCATCCGATATTAGGCATTAATATACAATGTTTAACAAAACTTGTATATACAATTCTTCAAGAATCTCATTAAGAATATTGAAATATGAAAACAATATTGTCAATTTTGATAGTATATAAATTTATCACAGATTTATAATGTGATCAGAGCGTTTTAATGTTTTAGACTATTATATTAAAGATACAATTATATTTACAATAACATTTCAATTTATCTTCTTTTTTCGTCATGCATTATGTACGCAACCATAATTTACTTGCATTCAAAAAAGACATGCATAATACAATTCTACATTTCTTACTAAAGGAAGAATATGTATATGTATATATTATATCCATCAATGATTACGGTCTAATGTCTCAACAAAAAAAAAAAAATAAATAAATAAATAAATAGTAAATTAATATAAATAATACAATTTTCTATTCTATGTTATTGATTTACAATATAACATCCAATGTCTACGCGAATGTAATTTTACGGTAATAAACTAGATAATTCTTTGAAAGATGAAGAGATTTTATTTTTACAAGATGTTAAATACGATGTTATGCACGAATATATACGTATATGTTCATATATATATATGACAATGACAGATGTATGATATTCGCTCGGATACTGTTTGTTATACTAAATGAAATACTGATTTTGGCATACATACATACAAACACAGCCGATGGAAAGGTATCATTTAAATATCATACATAGTACTTTTTTTTTGTTGTTGTTTACATGTGAGTAAAGCGTATTTGTTATTAAATATTAGTTACTTTTTTTAATCATTTATGCGCGCGAGTGTTAGATTATGATTAATTTATTTCACACATTGGAATTTTTCTTGCGATATACATATTCTATAAGAATTGATCAATATTTTAAGTGTTAGATCCTCCAATTTTTTTAACAATTATTAGATATGACATTATGAGAAAATCTTTTCTCTTTTTTTTTTGTTCTTTTTTTTTGTTTTTTGTTTTTTTTTTTTGCTCTTTTTTTTTTTTTGTTCAAAATCTGAGATATTTTATTTGAAGACACAACACGTGTCTTCTTGATAACAATTAATTTCATTTTTAAAGTGTGGAGTCGCGTTACTTTCTCTTCCAAGAGAAGCATCTTATTTTTCAACAATAACAATGTTAAATTACTTGATGCTTAATGAATAAGAGCAATTAGCCCATGGAACATATTACACACCTTACACCAGATTTATGATTACACATAAGTTTATGTACATAATATATTTAGTATACCTCATTTTAATAGACTTAAAAAAAGTTTACGATTAGAAACCTTCTTAAGATAGATAAAAATTTGAAATTTGTGATAGTTTTTTTCATAAAACTCTATTATAATACAATAAATATAATACTTGTGTTTATGCAATGATATTACTGAATACATTACAACTTTTGATATAATCATAAATGATACGAATTATGTGAATAATGAATATTAATATATTCACTGTTAATGCTAAATGAAATTTCAATTAATTTGACGACTATAAAATTATTTAACAAAGAAATGAATTTGTTTGTATATTAACTGCACCACGACAACTACTAGATGGAGGATTTTCATCGTCAGAATTATCACTTCGACGAAGAAACGTAGATTGATATCGACTTTGTTGTGATTTTTCAGATTGATGTCTTGATTCTTCTATGTATGCAGCTCTATCCTTTGCAACGATTTCTTGTATGTGTTTACTCAATGTAGACAATTCAAGTTTATCTTCGTAAATTCCATTAGACGATCCTAATTTTTCATAAAAGAGTATATAAGGCGTATCTGGTGGTTTTAGATCCTTGAAATCTTCTAGAGAAGTATAAGAAACATAGCTGTCATTAAATTTGTACCAATTCTGTTTAGAATCACAAGCATATGTGAAGTAATGTCCATAATCCATACTATAACCCGAATGTACAACAGCGGCATAAAGTTGATAAGTCTCGTTTATTGGATTCGGTTGAGTTGATACTGGCAATTGTATGATGTCATTATATATAACTTTATGTCGTAATTTCGTTCTTAGTCGACTTTCAAAATCATAATGAAAATGTTTCAGTGTTAAAATTAAATGTGCGGGCGCTTGTAAAATCTTAATAATTCTTTGTGCATCACATAATCTCATACATTTGTCGCATCTATATTTATTTTCACCGGTTAATTTTTCTGGTGTAAGATAATAATTAATGAGATCCTGAACTGAGACCTTTTGATTTTCGTGTATTTCTTCAGGGAAGCACAATTGAAGATCACGAAATTTATCTGTATTATGTGAACTAGTATCACATTGCGCGCACTGGTAAGTAATTTTTGATTCTCCACCTAACACTCTATGTACAAGAGATGCTTGTATATTTATTTCTTCTCCACCAACAGATTGTATTCCACTATCTGTTGAATCAGAATGAGAATCGCTAAGATGTTGTGTCTGCGATAACTCTTCACCTAGTAAATGAAAATAATATTTTTATAAGAAAGACAATATTAAAATGTTTTAAAATTTTAAAGAAAATTTTTACAAATTTATTAACGATATAAGAGAAAATACCTTGCGTAAAATCAGCCAATGATTGAGTTTTTCTTTGTAAAATTGTACTCCCTGTTAAATTTTCTTCAGTAGTCCAACGCTTAATAATTCCTGCTTCTTCCATTGATGGACTTTCATTGTCTTGCCTTTCCACTTTATATTGGCAACCATTTAAATCATTTCCACCACATTTCTCTTGTTCATGCAACATATCTAGCAAGTGACTATTTGGATAAAAGAATCTATTAGTAAACAGTTAAAAACGATTTAGAATTAAACTAAATATTGTTCAAGTGTTATAAGTGTAGTATAGTTATAAGAATATCACAAGTATATTAACCAAAGAAATTCTGAACTATCCTGTTGTTGACCAGGTAAGAAAGAAGCAGGCCGACAGGCATTCCAAATTTCAGTCGGTGATAAAGAAATTCTATTGGAGTATAATAGCAAAGCAAATAAATTTTGTAGTTTCTTTAATATAACTTGTTCACCACTATCGTTTGAAGGTTTATAGTTTAATATTTCATGACAAAATTCTCTTGTCATAACTAAGGCTTGTAATACACTGTTCATATAACATATATTTCCAAGATTAGAAAGACCCACTTTTCCAGTTATAGATTTAGGAGGTTCTATAAAAGAATCTAATTCTTTTTCATTTGTCCAAGTAGGCCCAATCAGTATTTCTCTAACAACATTTCTTTGAGGCATTACTTGCAAATTGATTTGTGGAAATATATATGTTTTTGGATGATTCATTTGTCTTGTTGTAAGAGCTGTCCTTATATTAATCATTTCTTGTATACATTCTTTACTAGATTCTGAATTCTCTTTTACTAATTGAAATAATATCATATCCATATTACTAATGATAATATGTAATGAACGTAGCGAGCCTTGTCTTTTCAAAATATGAAATATAATCTCTGAAGCATTGCGACGAAGTACTGGCTCTAATAAAGCTCGAAACATTGTATTCAATCTAGCTTCTGTAACCTCAATAAGTATTCCATCTTTCTGTTTTCTTTCTAAACCAAGTATAAACTCCATTATCCAACGGCCAAGTCTATCTCCTTTCCATTCTGGAAACCAAGTGCATAATACCTTTAAAGCCTGAACCAGTTTATCATCGCACTGTGATTCTGAAAGAATCCAATTAACTGCACGAGGTATAAAAGAAGGTTCTGTCAATTGTAGCACCGTCGCTAATGCAAGAGCCGGTTCCTGTATTCTTTCCTTATCCGATATAATTTTGTATAATGTTTTCAAGCATACAAAAGTTGGATCTTCACTGTGTACATTCTTTGTATTGGAACATATCTTTTTTAAAATACTTTGAATCTTGATAATATTATCATTGAACTTATGATCTTTCAATGGTTGATAAGGTACCGAAAGACTAGCCAGACTGATGACTATCGCTTCGCAAAGTTCTACATAATTGCCAGACTCACAAAAATAAGTACCATAATCTATCAATACTTGAAGAATCGTCGTCAAATAATACATGTCCTTGATATGTGTATTCTTAAAAAATATAGTTAAATCACTGACGAATGTACTGCCATCCGAAGCATTCCTTATTACGTGTTTACAAAACCAAGAAATGATGCGAGGGATTTCATCAACATTCGTAATCCGTTCTTTTAAAATACGCCCCAATATATCAACACAGGTATTTGATTGACTATATAACTGATTATCGTCGAACTTCTGTAACTTTGCCCATCCCTCAGCAATCTCCGAGTCTTTCCCTGTTACTATTAAATTCAAGCTACGCTCAATATCACGTTTTATTTGTCCTGTACCCATTGTTAATTAGGCGCACTTTGGATTTCACTTTGAAATCTGTATTCTTAGTTGGATTAACTACAACTATTTTTAACCTCAATCGACAATGACTTTCATGAAAATCAAAATGATTTCATGGTCACAGCTGGTCAGAGCCAACGCGAACAGATTGGAACGATGGTATTCACCGCTTTAGGGCCACAATACAACTTTCTAAGATCCATAAAAAGATCAAAATATTCACGATAATAGGTTCCAATTACAAGCGAGTCATTATAAATGGTAGCACTCCAGCCAATGAGATTGTATGATATTACTTTGTGTTAAATGCGACATCTTCCGGATTGGTCAATATGTTTACGGTATTTAAAAATCAACTTGTTTTTTAAATTACAAGATAAATTAATTAGTGACATTTTTAAAAAATGAACTGTGTAAATTTTAATAATTTTCATTAATTTGTTAACTAAAAAAAAATTCATCTACGACATCAATATAAAATACAATACACTAAAAATTCTCTAGTACATCAATGGCGCGAAATATGAAAAAATAACTAAAAATTCACTTTATTCAATGGTCATGTGATTAATAGTATTTGAGAATAAATTGTCGTTAACACGTTAAGCGTCAAACCTATTTGATCTTCCTTTTCGTTTAACCTACGATATACAATTTCACTAATATGTTGGCATCCGGAAATCTCTGTAAGATTACATCTGTTAAGACTGCATGTATATTTTCAGATATATTTCTTGTATTTATTTATCGCAATCTGTACTTTGTATTCTTTTAGAAATGCTTTCTCTTCAGCCAGTTGTCTATGATTCGATTTTCAGTACAGTTTAAAAAAATATTTTATTTAAAAATACTAGCAAGAATAATATGAGTATTACAGAATTTCAGAATAAATGAAATTCAGAATAAATTAGCTGTCCAACAAATTGTCGAGATAAAGAAATTCCAAGTAGCAGTATCGTAAATATACCTCAAATATCACGTCATAAACAGCAATAAAAAACGGGACAGTTTTTAAAATTCGAAGATATTGTAAAAAAATGCTACAAAGATAATACAGCACGATTTGGACAAGATATTGCTAGAAAGTTGACAAAATAAGTTATTATATAATGTGAAACCTGCCCAGAACAACCATTTCTATGTATACTGGGATTTAATAATACTGATTAAAATTTTTTTTGGTAAGAAGTAATAGATAATTTTTTTATGATCTCCAAATTATTTAAAATTTATCAATAGAAAAATATAATTTTATATGATATATATATATATATAATACAATTTAAAAGTCAATTATAAAATACATGATATCATCATATTTTATCCATTGATATTCTGTGTTAAAGTTATTCCTGCAACTACTTACTATATTTGTCAGTTATACATTATAAAATTGTTTAACACAAACGCTTAAAATTTTCTTATGTACATTACAATTGTAAAAAGATATTTAACTAATCCAATTTCTCTAATAAAGATATAAAAATAAATAGAATTATTACAAGCAAGATACATCATTGATTATTTCAGCCATCATATTTCTGTCTTGTAAAGCTGCACCAATTTCTTCTTGATCCCATTGTAAACTTAATTTTGATAAACGAGCCTCCTTTTTCTTTATTATTTTCAAGATTCCCCTAGTTTCTATTAATGTACATAAACATACAAATTCAGAAATATCTATAGCATGGATGTTCCGTTTCTTGCATACTTTTTTATAAATTTCGTGCAACTAAAATATAAAGAACGTATAAATTATTTTATATAATTTGCAAATATAGTAATGTTGTAAAATACTTACCCTTCCAATGGTAACATCTTTATTTCGTCCTTTATTTAAAATAAGTATAAAGGAACATAATAATAATTTTTGCTGTAATGGAAGTGTACTTTCTTCTTTATCAATGTTTTGAGTACCACCATAAACTCCATTTAATACTGTTACTACGTCTTTTAGATCAACTGACTTCTCACTCAAAGGTTGATCTTTCCTTGGACTACCTGTGTTATTCATAGGTTGTAAAATTTGCGCTGTCCAATTCGATTCTGCACGCTCAATAACTCTTCTACTAATATCCAATGCTCTTCTAATATCTCCTGAAATGGCAGCAACCTTTCCAGCTAATAATTGTAATGTTGGCCCAGTTAATACATCAGAAACATTTGCTTCACTGAGTCTTGTAGATACAATATTAAATATTTGTTGCTTCGTATATGGAGGAAAATTCATCAGCTGTGGCTTTAATTCGCATCTTACTTGTAAACGTGGTAAAATTCTATCTGTCAAATCCAGAGCATTAGCAATGCCAATTAAAATAAGTTTTGTATTAGGTTTTGATGGCCATTCAAATATGGAATACAAAATAGATTGATTTTTGCTTTCCAATTGATCTATTTCATCAAGAATTAAGAGTAACATTTTGTGATTGGACATTAAATATTTCTCAATTATTGCTTTACTATTTTTACTAGACTTTGGTACAGGTATATCTAATTCTTGCATAATTTTTGAATAAATAGTACCAGCTGATTTCATTGTGGTACAATTTATATAAACAACCTTGAATTTTGAATTAAATTCTGGTTGCTGGATAATTTTAAATAGACACGCCGTTTTTCCAGTACCTGGAGGTCCAGAAACATAAAGTGATGCAGAAGATTCATTCTTTAACTGTTCTCGAATAAATTCTTCTAATTTAGCTATTTCTGTTTCTCTTCCAGGCAAATTCTCGGAAGCAGAACTATGTAAGGCTTTACGAGCATTACGATATTTATTTGATCCAAATAATTTCTTTGGAACAAATTTCTCTTTTTTTTCATCTGATGATAAATCAAGCTTATCTAAGAGAGTTGATGGAGTTAAAGAAAGTGCTACAGATTTTTCAGATTTTTTCTGCTTTGGTGGTGTAGAACTATGATCATCTACCGAAATAATAAATATGTGTATAAAACATAAATATCTTTAAATTATAAAAAACATTTAAATGCCGACAATATCAATGAATACGTACCTTCAGAATCATCACATTTCCGTACACGTCTTGGAGTTTTAACACCATCATTACTTCTATTTTCTTTAGAATTCACCTTATTTGTTTTAACATTCTCAGAGTCCGAATCAGATTCAGATTCACTGCTACTTAATGTGACTATCTTCTTAACTGTTGGTATATATTTTGTGGGAGTACACCTCACAGTCGCGTTAGAAAAATCTTCTTTTATGTCATTTCGTTTGGTACCATAAAAAGAACACTTTTTTCGAATCGGAAAAGAGATAGTTGTTTGTTTACTAGTCATTTTTAGTGAGTCAACAATTTTTGTTATATTTTCTTACTTCGTCAAAAATAATATATAAATAAAACAATTATGTAAACAAAAACAATTGCAATTAAATAATCAAAGAAATGTTAACATTTAAATGAACGTCTACACAATTTCTATTAGCTCAACCTCAAACAAAACAAACATCTTCAAGTCTTCAAAAATATCATTTTAATATAATTTAAACAATAAATCATTATACATATATAACTGTACGTATTTAAAGTAAATTATGATATTTATGACTCTTACTATATGACTCAGAATAAATTTTATCTGATTCTATTCAACAGCTTCTAATTACACGAGGTGTAGAGTAACAATTGATGTTTTGCTGTAAATTTTCGCGGGAAAACTCTTCAAACGCGGGAAAATGTTGGAACGTGAAATAGAAATGAATCAAAACAAGGAACGACGAAATTGATTCAAAACAAATATTAAAAAATATTTATCAATATATTATTTTTATATAATATAATTTTTTTATTCTAGATCATAAATTAATATTTAATAATATATTTAATTGTTAAAGAAGATTAGAATAACAAAATTGAGAAATTTATAGAAATTGCAATTAAATTAGCGATCATAGCGCCCTCATTTAAGCCCTCTATAGGAGTAACAGTTGAACTATAGCGTTTTCCGGTAGTACATAAATAATTATTTCTCTTCCATATTGATTTTAAGAATCAACGAAGCAAGTTGAATAAAAATCCTTAGTAATCGAGATTTATACAATTTTCTAGTTCCTTTTGATTCGTAAATATGAGAGCGAAGGTAAGTATTTAATATCTAATGTTATTATTTAATATGTAACAAGAAAAGATAAATTTTGAAAAATATTTCACAAAATCAGTGAAATATACAACGATTCGATGGTGTTACGTTCAGCCATGTGAAATCAATAGAGTTGTTTATTCGTTTTACAATAGAATGTGTTCTATCAATGCTTAATTTACATTTTTTATTACATAAAAGAAAATAATTTTTTTCTTTTTTCTATTATATGATTATATGTCAACGTTTTTTTTTAACGATAATGGAAAAGTTGAATAGGTTAAGTGTGTGATATTTTGTTTGCAGTGGCGTAAGAAGCGTATGCGTAGGCTAAAGCGCAAAAGGAGGAAGATGCGTGCGAGGTCTAAGTAATCTGTGTCCATTTAATCTGTAAGTATTTGTAATATATGTGTAATTACATTTTTTTTTAACAGTATACCTTATGAATAATCATAAACATGTATTTGTCATTGTTATCTTTAAACATTAAAAAAATATATAATGTAATTAATAATCTTTTACTGTAACTTAGTAAAGTGTAAATTAAGAAAAAATTTTTTGTAATATGTATAACAGAACTTGTTAATTTTATTACAGCTGTAGGAACGACATAATGATACGACAAGTCATGGTTTCTAGTTGAATCTACTAGATATCTTACAAGTCCACTCCATCAACCTGTCTTTCACACAGAGATCAAATTTTATAAATCTATTTTTTGTTCTTCTTAAATAAAATGGATACTGGATATATACAAATTTATAGTTTCTATTATTGTATACCAATCCTGCTTCATACATCGCATACACAACGCCATCAACTAAAGTCAATTAAAAATAATACCGATTTAAAATAAAGTATATGAGTTTTCTATTTAAACTTTGATATAAACAAAATTTAGTTGATTCTGTAATCTAAGACAAATTTAATCTAGAATAAATTATCTTAAAATTACGTTCATACATTAACGCCATCTGAGACATTTCGTTGAAATAGTAAGTTTAGAATAGTCTTGACCATCCTTATGACAATATTTTGAGGTTAAGGATATAATAAAGAAATCATGAACAATCGTATCTTATCGAATTTATTACGTGCACGAAAAATATGTAAAACATTCGGTACGCCGCATAAAAACAGATTTATTACTTATTCCTTATTAAAACGAACAAGACATTTCTCGGATATTAATCCAAATAAATTACCAAACGAAAAACTTACGAATGAAAATGAAAATGATCTTGTGTTAGAGCAAACTTCGAAACACAAAATATTCCACGACAAAGATTCTAAAGTTATATTAGATGTAGAAGAAGAACAAGAAAGGATACTTTTAGGTGATTTACGTATAGAGGAGGAAAAGCACGATCCCTACAGTGGATTGAATTTAAACCGTAAGTCAATATTTGTATAAAAATAATATATATAAACTTATAAATATTGATTATATTTTTTAACATTTTATCAATATTAAAATATATTAGGTGGCAAACAAGGAGTGTACGATATAGAAGATCTTATTTCGGTTCTTCAAAAAGATAATGCAAAAGATATCTTTGTTATATCTGTGCCTAAAGAATATATGTATGTAAATTATATTGTAATTGTCACAGGTAAATCGCAAAAGCATATGAGTGCTCTTGCCGCATATATACGTAAAATTTTTAAATTAAAGATGCATAAGAAGGATATTATTCCTAAAATTGAAGGAGCCAAATGTAAAGATTGGATAGCATTGGACTTAGGTATTTATCAAAATATTATAGATATTTAACTTTCTATTTGAGCAATAAAAATGGAATATATCTTCTTATAGGAAACATTGCTTTACACATATTCTCAGATGCTGCTAGAAAACAATACGATTTAGAAACATTATGGACGGTTGGTTCACAATACGACGGACAAACAAACAAACCAATGGTGGCAGATATTATGGAACAATATAAATCTTTCTTAGATGTATTTCAACCAGAAAATTCATAAAAATATAGACATTTTATTGAATCTATTTTAGAATTTTCTTCTTCAATGTATACATGACTTTATTAATTGAAATTGAAATAAATTCTATGAATTACATGCAAAATATTTTTTTTTATAAATTTGTATTGTAACATTCGTATTTTTCTCTCTCTCTCTTTCTCTCTCCCTTTTTTTTCCAGCTAATATAATTTCATCATCTCCCTTATATTTCTTTCATCCAATCAAACCTGCGTGCGCGCGTACCGTCACGTATGATATAGCACGTCTTCTTTTATTTATTTCCCCTCTCTTTCTTTTATTGCCCTTCTCCATATTTTTTCGTTTATCAGCACGCATGCTCTCTCTCTCTCTCTCATACACAACATACACAATATAACTATTAAAACCAATTCGTTGTCTTAGCAACGCCGATATCCGAGAATCCCTTTATCGTTATTCGATGGAAGCAACATTTATTGAGCTATCTATCTATTCAGTTCGGCGTGCGATGACTAATCAAGCACGTTGCACATAGAAATACATATATCTTCGAACTGTTCTTGACCAATTACATACATACATATATAGATCGTATGTCATTAACTGAAAATATATTTTAACACGTTATACATACGATCATTTTAACACGTTTGCGAACAGCTGGAAAATAATTATTAAGAAAGTTAAATTTACGATTTCTCTTTCGTTTCATTTTGTCGAAATGATTCTAAGAAGGTTGCATCGATTCTTCGATAACGTACCGCCTTGTTGACCGCATTGTAACAAGGGAAATCATTTGCTCCTAAGATTCACTAGGTAAATCATTAATCATCCTTTGGTCAATAATATAGAGTTTCCGGTTTGGATGGCAAAATACGATCGTCAATACGCATTTGTTGCCTTTGGAAACGGAATAATTCGTCTTTAATATTGCTGGTGATCGCCTTAATTTTCTGCAACATCGTTTTATTATCGTTTATAGTTGAATAGTGTATAATGCCATCTGCCTTATTATCGCTTATATATATATATATATATATATATATATATATATGCATATGTATATAGGTTGATTTTATTAAGAAGAATCAGAGAAACAGATTTATTGAAACATAAATTATCTACTTAAACTATCTCGGAAACAGGTGATCGAGATAGTAAGTGATATAGATATAAATTAATGGATATGTATAAACAGAGATCATGCAAGGTCTCTACGTTCATTGATCGAAAGTGAAATCGTCGTAACACTTCGATGAGGCTAACGATGGTTCAGTCAAACGTATAATTATTTTGTATGATCACATTTCGCGTGTTACGAAATATTTATTATTGTGATATTAAATTGAAAATATCTTTAGTTATTGTTTGAATTATTTTTTATCGAAAATCCGGAATAATCCCGATAAAACACTTTTATCGTTATGGTGTCTATAAAATATAAACAAAATATAAAGTTCGAATTCTTAATTCGTAGGGTTAGGATTCCCAGGTAATAATTGAGTATGTAAACAAGTGAAAATGATTTCGATACTAATATTTACAAATATTATATTATTTATGATTGGTGAATTATATTTCTTTCATAATTTGCATTGCATTGAATTATTTTCATCTAACTGCAATTTTCTTTTTTTCAGATACTTCTATCATAAAACAAATAGGTGAAAAAAATAAATAAATAAATAAATAAATAAAAATATATGGGCATGAGTGAAAGCAATAATCAAGTTCAAAATTATAAAAATGTCAAAATCAATACAAGTTTGTCAAAGAAAGTCGTCTAGATGTTTACAAATACCTTTAAAATCGATAGAACAAATTTATTTGATTTTCTTGATACCAACGATAATAAATTGTATTGTTTACATCATTCACTTTTCCGCCGATTTAGTTGTTGCTACACAACATTTTAGAGAGCATAATCCAATATGGGGATCTTGTACTCTTTCTCTTATGTATGCTCCTGCTATAGTATATTTTATATTAACTATTTCAAGACCGGATTGGTGGATGACAGACGATGATAAGTTAACAAAGGGAATTTTTATTTGGTTCTTTCTTCAGATATGTCAGCTTATTGGATTTCCATTTTTTGCACTTTACAGGTACCATTGATTAAATTTTAAATAAACAATTTGAAATTTGTGTATAACATTATTTTTTTAATTATTATATAATAATATCTTTTATATAGATATGCTGGACTTATTGTCATGGCAGTGGATGCTATCATCTTGAAAGGAGAAAAAAGATCTAAAACACTAAACATTTCTGCTGCACCTGCATCCATTGAATTATATTTCTTTTTACAAGCCTGGTTTCAAGCTGCACCTCAAGCCATATTCCAGACTCACTTACTTTTTAGAGAATATGTAGTTCAGCGCAGTTTTCAATCAAGTATGACAAATCTCTTTTATTTAATAATTAAAAATATATAACAGATGATAATTGTAGATTTTATTTCTTTTTACAGTAGCTGTACATGTACTATGTATTCTTATGTCCGTTATGATACTTGCAATTGAAACAACTGCTTTCCAAAGATTTGAAAGTCAACGTGTCAATGGTAGAAAGCTTCCATGGGCAATGTGGTTAAAAAAATATTGCATTGAAGTAATTTTTGATTAATTGCTATAATATATATATTTTTGATTGATCATTTATTCTACAATTTTATATATAGGAACTTCAATATTTTGAAGAAAAAACACCATTACAATTACCTAATATAACAGAAGATAATGCAGCTGCTGTTAACTCAAAGGAAGAATTAAATCAAGAAGATGAAAATAAAAAAAAATCTACTGAAGAGAAATCAGAAGCAGAAGTAACAATTAGTTTGGATAGACAAATATCGGTAACTCCGCCATTACCACCGAAAAACGTTCATGTGACACCTCCTCCTACACCTCTCAGAGGAATTACTACAGTTGTACCATTACCTGTACCAGATGTACCAGCACCTCCTCGTCCAGATTCTATTGTGAAAACTACAGAGCATCAGGATTTAGAAGATGCAAAGTCAATTTCTATTATAGAACAAAATCAAAAATTAACAAATAGTAATCAAAGTTTGAAAGTTCCGAAAAGGAAACATTCTACTAAGGGATTAGATGAAGATGATCCAGTTGGCAAATTTCTCTCTTTTCTTTGGTGGTTCTTTTTTATCTTAGCACGGATCCTTGCTATAAGCATATGTTACGAGTTTTATCCATATTATTTATTAGGCATGCTTGGCATCCATTACATTATCATGTTGGTATATCTTTTTTATTATGCATCATATTATGATGTCATCACATTTTTCATTAATCTCTGGCTTGGTTTAATTTATATTGTCAGTATGATTGAGTACAAAATTAAATTTAAATATGCAGATAAATGGCTATTACCATATTATATTTTCATTTTAATCCAAAATACTGTTTTTACACTGACATGGTATTTTCATGCAGAATGGGACGGATTTTGGTATAATTATGCAGTATGTACAATTTTTATCAGTATGGCACTTTGCATTTCATCAACTATAGTCTATCATGTTCTATTCAAACCAAAGAAACGAAGAGTATATAGCAGTTGACAATCGATAAAAACAGAATTATTCTGGCTAGTAGTTTTAATAAAAAATCTAAATATTAAATAAACATTTAAGTTTTTATGCTTAGAAATATTGCAATAGAGCAATTGTGGAAAGATCTCACAATCAGTATGACTGAATAAATATATTTCTTTAAGTTCTAAATTATAGCAAATAGAAAAAGATAGATTATAATCGATAATGACTGTTCTATAATTATAATTATTAGAAAAATATTTCAGGGGCGTAAGATTGAATATTTCAAACAAATATAATAATTATATGTATGTGTGGTATTTGTTAATGTATTTGTTGTTAATTATTAATATTATTATTATTATTATTATTATTATTATTATTATTATTATTATTATTATTATTATTATTATTATTATTATTTACAATTAATTATAGTCACTATATATATATATACATATACATATACATATATATATACATATACATATACATATACATATACATATACATATACATATATATGTATAATATTTATATAAAAATGATTCGTCTAGAAAAAGACTTATAAATAGTTACTATATCTGGCAGCAATTATTTTGCTTAATGATAAGCGTACAATATATGATAATATTTACAATATTGTATATTATATACACTGACAGCTATAGATATATTTATATTCCTTTTTTATAATTATTAAAATTTCTACTTCTTCCAATTTGTGGAATCCTATATTGTGTATATTTTGGTGCTTTAAAAGTTTTTAGATATTTGGACTTTAAAACTTTTAAAGCTCCTATTTAAATTTATTAAAAATATATTCTTTTTATATTTAATAAAGAATATTCATAATTCAGTTCACTTATAGAAAATATATATTATAAAATAATTCTCTTATACGTGTATGTTAGAATCTCTGTGAAGATTACCAAGTTGAGCTTCAAACAAAATATCACTTAATAACTTTTCAGCTATTATTCTTTGGTCTAAACGCATATTTCTAAGTTTTGCTGCTACATTTCGACCAATTGCATCAAATTCATCTTCCATAACAATTGAATTATTATGTGGTATTTTCAAAAAATCATTAGATTCAGGTTCTTCTGATTTTCGTCTTCGAATAACCGGAGATTGATCAGTCCATTCTGGTGATTGTTCATACAATTCTTCATTACCAGGTTGACATTCCTCCTAAAAATACATAAATATTTGCAATATCAGTAATATAGATTAACTTTCCTTAAGTCTAAAAATGCACATGACAAATTGCAAACATAGTAAAATTAATTTACTGGTTTATAGTATTTTCTGTATCTTCTTTTTGTTCTTATGATTTCTGCATATTTATCAGAGGATAAATCAATATATACCATTGCTGGTTTCCTTTGGTTAGATTTACATTTGATTTTTTCTATCATGAATGGATGGAGTCTCTAAAAAAAAAAAAAAAAAAAAAAAAAAAGAAAAAAACAGAAAGAAAAAACCAGATAGTTTATAAAGTTGTAGTAAATTATAAATATAAATATATATATATATATGTATAGTATATTGAAATATTATCGCTTACTTTTATATGACTTAAAAAGTTTCCAGTGGATTTCAAATTTCCATTAAGTAATTTTTGACACTGTAAACATCTAACCGTGACATTAGTATCTTCTACTCTAATCACTGTAAAGAATTCACCATCTAGAATAGCAGGTAAGCGAATTGGAGTAAGTGTCATGTTTTGCTGAATATTTGATTGAATTTGCGTGATTTGATTTTGATCCTGTTGCAATTGTTGCTGCTGCTGTTGTTGTTGTTGTTGTTGTTGTTGATGCAGTGTTGATGATTCATGATTATCTTGATTTTTTACTTGTACAGTTTGCATAGGAATTTGTGCACCAACTGATTGATTGATTTCTTGCTGATTTGTAGCTTCAATCATACACGTATCAAAAGTTTCTACTTTATTGACATATTTCTGCGGTGGGAAACTTTCCATGTTTTATATTTCTTTTTGTTTACAATAATGAATTGTCAATTAAGTAATAGAAATATTATTTTATTAATTCACTGTAAATATATATATATATATATTAAAAATGTTTTAAAATAAATATTCAGATATTCCTGAATATATATATAAATTATTACTTACTGACAAAGATAATACAAAATAGTATTTATTATCTTGATTTCTTATTGAATTTTAAATAAGTTATTAGATAAGAACGTCGTACAGGAAAGATCTCAAGTAAGATAATAGATAAGAACGTGCATGATACAGTATATATAAGTATAAAACTGATATACCAACTTTGAAAATCAAAATTTAAACTTTATTTCAAATATTTTATAACAATTTATTGTTGTATAAAGTTATGGAATTTATTATTATAATAAAGAATAAAAAAACATACGTAATACAGTTTGCATTTGTTATCAAATTTTTAAAACGAAGATAAAAGAATAAAATCAGCAAACGATAATTACATAATTTCTAATTCGTAATTGAATAATAAATAATAATTTTCCATTAAACAGATAGATTTATGATGAATTTTGGACATAATTATAAAAGATAATGGTTACGGTTAGTTACAATAATAATGCATTAAAATTCCTAATGGCGCTGATAACGTCTCGTCTCTATAAAACGAACTCGGACCTACACTATATTTTATATATACGTAGGAAAATAGTTGTATATATAGTACGAAACGATATATATACATATATGTGTGATCATCTAAACTTGGCATAGACCTAGCTAAAGTATAATTAATTGTTAAAAAATATTCTATTAATATTACATAAAATTTACAAAAAAGGTTTAATATAAAATATCTTGTGTTCATAATAAAATACTGTTAATTATTATAAACGATTAGTTTTTTTATTTTCACGAGATTTTGTGAAACAAATATTTTACTGAATGCATGAAAAAAAATATGTTCAAATTTTTATTATTGTAAATTTATGTGTCAACAAACATTTTCAATAAAATAATAATAAATTACTTTAATTAACTGAAATAATGGCAACATCTTTGTCAGGTAAAATGAAATTTTAATCTTATAAACTATTATAGGCATGTTATATTAAAAGTAATGTGCGAAGTATTTTAACATATTTTAAATGATTTTATCCTTTTTAATGTTTTATAGCATATTGGGTAAAGTTTTTCAAAGGTGCTGGCTTTCCACAAGACGTTGCAACTAAACATGCAGTTGTATTTTCTAACAATCGTATTAAACCAGATATGTTGCCAGATTTGGATAAACCTAGTCTTAAAGAAATGGGAATTACTTTAATGGGAGATATGATTGCTATCCTAAGATATGCTAAAAAAGTTGTAGAAGAAACTACATGTGAAAAATTTCTTGTAGACACTGAAGATCCTGATACTCCACCTAAACTTGTTAATAAACCAATAATTAAGAAAGCTATAACAAAAGTAACTGCTAAACCTCCTGCTATAATTAAAACAAAGCCTTCTACTGTAACTACTTCAAAAATAATAAAAAACACATCTACCGTGGTTCCAAAGATAATAACTGTGAAAAAATCAAATGTGGATTTACCTGAAAGTAAAAAGAATACAAGTTCTCTGAAAAGGACGCTAGAATCTGAGGAAGAATATGATGGTGGTCATGATGATGACTGGAAAATTGTTGCTAAAAAGAAACCGAAGCCACAAACTAACAATGATGAAGATAATGAGAAAGTAGGATATACAGTAATATTACCAAAACGGACAACTTTAAGAACGCCATCAACTAAAAGAATAGTTAAAACAAAGCGAACAGTATTTGACAGATTAGGGGATAGTTCAGTAACTAGTACAACCAATTTGCCTGATACTTCTCCTACTTTTAATGTTACTGGATTGGGTAAAGATATATATAAAAGAACAATTAGTGTTTTCAATCGCCTTGGTGATAAAGATGCAAAAAAAAATGACACACCACAATTAGGAATATTAAAGAATGGTACTACTAAAATGACCTCACAGGGTATTCTAAAAAATAGTAGTTCCAATATAGGAACATCTGGCATAGCTAAGAAGAAGATTCTTACTGCAGGTACAATGCGTGCTGATCAAGAAGTTAATATGAAAACAGCTTTAAATAGTGTTAAGCAATTAGTAGGTACAACTAAAAAAATTACTTTCAATGAAAATGCATCAAACATGATCAAAAAAAGAAATACTGAAGTTACATCTGGCAAATTAGGTATGATTATTATCTGAAAGAATAATATACAATTTATAATAGAAAGAATAATTTATAATTCATAAAATTTTATTTAATGTATTTGTTTTTACAGCTTCAGAACGACTCACCACAATACCAGCAAAAGCACGATTAGGTGTATTGAGATCAAGTAGCGCGAAACAGGTTACTTTCAATAGAGTTGCCACTGTCACACATGTTAAAAAAGCAGATGTTTTTAGTCGTCTTGGAATTTAAAAAAAAATTAAGTTCATCATTGAAACATTGTTTCTAATTACATATACTTTGTACAAAGTGATATTACTTTTTGTTCTGTAAAGAGTATACTGTATACATATGTTTTCATATAAAACTCTATAAAACTTCTTAAAAACAAACTAGGTAATATTCTTCACAATTTGCATGAAAAAATTCTTTTAATAGTATAATATAGTGAAATGATAACTTAAAATTACGCAAATAAAATGAAATTTAAGTTAAATTAAAAATCGCATTGTAATATACATGTTAAAAAATGAACAAAATTGATTCAAAAATATATATATTTTTTTTATATCTATTTTTTTTTTTTTTTTTTAATTATATAATCTGAAGTTTTATTGATTTAATAATGTAAGATTTTCATTTTTTGTGATATTATTTATTACATTATTTTTTGTGATATAATTATATTTTAGCTTTCTTTCACATTTATTTTACGATTTAATTAAACTTTGCATTATGTTATCAACAAATTAAAATTAATACAATTTTAATATATTCTTCTCTCTTAATATATAAATAAGCTTGCTTTTATTACTAAAATAAAAATTTCATGCAATAATATAAAATATAATTTGTTTTTGGATAACTAATATGTATTTATATTATATGATAAAAAAATGACAAAAATTGTACACGAATATAACAAATCATATATTGTGTTGATACTTGTAATACATTTATATAATATTAAGATTTGATCATGTATATATTTTATCCCCTGAGACTTTATAAATTTTAGGAAATATCTTCTGAAAAACAATATATGTTATTACAACTTATATCGTCTTAATCCACGTTATATATAAACTTTTACATTATAAAATTTTATAATTTATTATTTTCAAATTCGTATAGTCGAGTAATATTAGAAAAACAGGTACAAGTATACATTCATTTTTGTATATTTTCTATAACAGCATATAATCTTTTATATGTTCGATTAGAAATTTTTTAATACAATAATACAGCTAGTAGGCAGGTCTTTACTGCAGAATGCTTGCTATTAAAAAAATTAACAGCCATCATAATGCACGATGGAAAGTTTTGTTAACGACTAAAATATATTCTAAGAACATAACTGAAATTTAAAGTATTCTTTGATGAAACCTTGTAATTTGTAGTTTTTGTATTTTAATATTAAATTTTATAGAGTATGGCAGAATGATCTCCCGGATTTTGAAGATTATTTTACAGCGTGAACATCCAATTTCATTTGATTTTATATTTATTCATATGATTTTATAATTATGTCATCTAAATTCATCCACGATACATTATTATATCCAATTTCGAAAGTTATGCAATTATTCTTTATAAATTCTTTTAATAACAAATATACAGTGCAAATCTATTCAACTCATGATAGTACACAACAGTAAATTATATGTTATCATGTAAAAAGACTATTATTATAATCTTCTAAACTCTATTAGAATTCGAATAATGCTGAATCAAAATCTGGGAGATTGTTCTGCCATACCTGTATATTACAAATGCATTAATTAAAAAAAATAATTATTTATTTTCTAATTGTTACAAAAAATGTTTTCTCACGTATAAAAACAAAAACACCATACTCAACCTTTTTAATACTTATTGAATCTGGAAAAGAAGGGGTGATCGTGGCTCCATGTCTACTCCAAATGTGTAATATAACTGTAATCATTTTATGATAATCAGTAATATTACCAAGAACGGAGCGTCGACTATATCAGATCTTAATTCAGTAGATTTTGGAAACAATAAAATTTCAAAGAATATTACACATAAGATAACAAAATCAAAAACAAAGTCTCAAAGATCTGACTTACAATTTTATTTTGACGCTCACCTTTTTCAAATCTCCCATAAATTACTTGAATAGGGCGTTGTTTTCCTGTAAAAATAAAATCTTACTACAGTCTCAGAGGGAAGCAATAATATAATTCTTATGAGATATAATCTTTGATCTTAATATCCTGTGTGAATTTGGATATACACATTAATATTTAATGCTTAAAGTTCATATTTCTATTATATTACAAATTCATAGTATACTTATTATTATTGAAATAAAAATAGAAATATATATATATATATTTATATATATATGTATAGTCATAATTATAAAAAATAATAGTTATGAAATATAAAACGTATAATAAAGCCTGCCTTTTTAAGGAAGAAATATAGAGTAATATGTAAAAACAAGATGTACAAAAATAACATAACTTTTAGTTTATGGCAGAGTTGGATTTTCACAAGTTTGGTAATAAACAGCCTTTGATTTCCAATGACATCCCTGAAAACAATTATCATATACTATATTCCATAGTATTTAGTATACTGTCAATAAATATATTGATTTAATATAAATACATTGAATTTAAAAATTTTCGTTCTTTCAAAAATCCTGTACAACTCTGCTGCTTTCTATCAAATTTCTAGAATAATTTTCATTGATAGTTCAAGACCCACGATCAGTTTCCCCTTCATTCTATATCACTATTTGTACTATTAATATGACATTTCGCACAATATTCTAAGGATATTTTATTAGAATTAACATGTAAACAGATTCCAGTATTGTTTAAATTTTGAAACAGGTCTTCTTCTGTACAAGAATTTGGTACTTCAAGATCAATCGAACTCATAATTTCATCATATTTTGGGATATCTTCAAATAAATTTACATTAAACGGCGTCAATTCATCAAAATCCATATCATCGATATTGGTATCTTTGGTTTCTTCTGAATTACATATACTGTTTGTTGTTCCAGGAGTTATACTATCCGTTTCTTGCATGTATCTGCTATCTATACTGC